CTATATTAGTATATATAGATTATTACTATATTATATATATATATAAGTAGAGAATATATATATATATATATATATATATATATATATATATATAATAAAGATGAACTATATAAAGAAATAAACAATAAAATTGTGTTTACTTGAAGGAGACCTTCTAAAGAGAAACAGTAATCTATATTTTATTGAGGCAAGTGCTAGTAATGATGAATTACATTAACGATGAATTGGTTGAAGCAAATGCCAGTTACTGTTCATTTTGTTTCTGAAGTAATGAGAAAAAGGTAAACTTCCTGTCAAAAGAAGCTCACAGATATATTATTAGTCTTAAGATTTGCAATTTGTCTGTTAATGTTTTCCAAATGGTCTCTTCACATATGAGACTAAAACAACACCTTGTTCAGGAAATTGCCAAAAGAAAATGATGTGATATTTTAGGAAAGAGTGTCTATATTGAACGTGATTAAATTTTTTTGTTTTTGGTTGACTCGTAGATTTAAAATAATATTTTGGCCAAACATAAATGCCACAAGGTAATTGCTGTGATTCAGTAAACAAGTGGTGATAGATCTATCTTTTACAGAGTTCAGGTTATAAAGAGATCAAACCTTCTAAGATTTTTCTTCCTTGCCAGAGATTTAGGAAGAAAATCTCAAAGACCATGATTAAATTTTGTTATTTTCTTTAATCTGGTCCAGTATGGGTTTCTAGGACGAAGAGTGCATTTATTGTATTTAAGATATACTTTGTTGTAGGCTGTTTTGAATGAAGTGCTTGATGGATTTAATACTGAATGAAAAGTTTAATTGACAATAGCTATTAACTCTCTCAGCACGGGCTTGGTCACAGGCACCGACCTCATAACCATTTTGTTTTGTGCTTGTTGTAGTTTTCATGCATATTATGCATTTTGTTTATTAATGCTTTTATTAAAGTACTTCTGGTAGTTGTTTTTGCTGAAATTTCTGAGTTTTTGGCCATGTTTACACCAAAAAATATAATCAACCATTAGTTAAATAGATCATTTTTGACAATGAATTTGTATCAAAATCAGTTTCAGTTTTTGTGCTGATTTTGTTCTGCAAGTTATACAGCAATCAAAAAATGAAAAAATAGTACTATTAAATCAAACTTTATCTGATATGAAATTTTAAATTACTTCTTCACATGGCTGATTAATGATGATAGAACATATTTATTTAATATTAAGCACACTCACAGGATTCTCAGGCAAAACATTCTTTTATAAAAATGTACAGGATAAATCAGGAGTCATCTATTAGTTGTTGATATTTTTAGACACTATAGTAAAAATTTTAAATATGTATTATGAATAGGCATATTTTCTTATAATCAAGCAGAAAAAGGGAAAATAAAAATATCTTGGTGAGATATTATTTATTATGGACACTGTTGTGTGTGTATCTTGATGTTCAATATAAAATTTCTTAACTTTTGAATACTCCTTTTAATTGTTTGTTTGAAAGATGTGGATCTTGAAAGACTTTTGCAGCAATAAAGGATTTTTTTAATTTGAAGAGAACAGTCAGATTTTTATCATAAAAATGTTATCTCCAGACTAGTGTAGATACAGTTGGACAGTCAGCATCTCAAGATGATTCCTCAAAAGAAATTAAGCTCCCACAAGCTCTAGAGAAAGTGTTGGCTTTCAAAGAAGAGAGAGCCCAGCAGTTGGGCTTAGATCCTGATGCTGTAGTAGAGCCAGGTAAGTGTAAAAGTTTTTAAAAGTTGTTTCATACTATTAAATTGTTTTCCTTTTTTTTTTTTCTTACTTGTCTCTGATACCAGATTCTTAGGAAATAAACAAGTAGAAAATATAGGTTATCTTATTATTTGGCGAAGTTGTGAAAAGTGTTTGGCTTTGTAAATTAATTTTTCATCCATGGAACAGTGGCTCATAGAATTGCTCTGAATTATTTTATTTTTTTCCAAGTACAAACTTTTAGCTCATACCTCCGTCATCTCTTGACAGATTTGAGATCTAATTACAGTTTTGGTCTCAGGAGGTCTAAGCCCTTTCAATTGATGTATTTGACCATGGCCAAGGTCTTATAGATTAATTTATTTTAATCCTGCCTTAAAGAAATTCAAAGAGAGATCCTAATGAGTAATAAAGTCGAATTGGGTGTACACGTGCCCCACACTTGATATTGCTGGCATGCAAAAATATAGCTAATATAAAGGGGAAAAAAATGTTTCGCAGATTAATTTACTCTAATCCTGCCTAAAAGAATTTTAAGTGCTGTGGCTATAGACGATTCTCTCTTGTTAAAGGAAAAAATACTTGCATTTCATTTGTCTTTCTAACACTTTCATAGATAATCTCCATTACATTTGTAAGAAATTTCCATTGTATCTTTCACTTATTGTTCCTGCTATTTTTTTGTACTCTTTAGGTGTTTCTCCTGCTGATTAAAAGTTTTATGTAAATTACACCATGTTTTATCATTTTGATCTTTTTTATGCTTAGCAAACATTAAACTTACTGATTAAAAGCTAAAGTGATCTTTCATATGCTGCTTTCACCTTAAAAATTGTTTATTAGCATATTTTAATGTCTGGAATGGAAGCTATATTCTAGTAGCTTTGTCTTTTCACAGTTTCTACTGAAATTATAAAACTTGGAACATAAATTCAGAGTATAATAAGTTTTTAAAACCCAAACTTAATGCCTTTGTAGCATCTTTACAAAGCTGCATTTCTCTCTTCTTGTACTATTTCTTGTGTTCTATCTCCTTTTACTGTTACCTGATGTCATGCAAATTCTTAATATATAGATACATGCCTCAGTTTTGTTTGGAAACTTCAGTTTAAAAAAAAACAAAGAAAAAACCTTGTTTTTACAAAAACAGAAAGAAAAAAATTGTATTTGTATACAGGAACTTTTTGTGCTTTTTCAGTGGATACTTGGCTTCTACTATTTGTAGTCTGTTAGCCATGACAAGTTTTCATTCAAATTTAAAGAATGTGTTGTGAAAGTTTTTCATCTTGTTGTTTGCAGCTATAATTTGATTTAGATATAATAGGCTCCATTCTCCTTTAGGCTAAGTTTCAAGGTAATTGATCTACAAGAAATATTTTACATAATTTTTTTTTCTTAGGTTGGTTTTTCACTCTTGCTGTCTCATAAACAAAAATTCTTGAAATTTAAAAAGATCTTATTTTTGTAAAATGCTTGGCTTAAAATAAGGAAGCTTTGTAAATATATACCTGCAGTTAATTAGACTCTTATTTTGTTTTTGAAACATAATTAGTTTTCTTATACACTTAAGTTCTTCGGTTATTATTTATGAGAATTTTTGTGTATGGTAATTAGTTCTGTTATAAATTCTGCATTTTCTTTCTATGGTTTTCCATGTTTTCATTAAACATAGTTGGCAATAATAATATATGGAATTGTAGACCCTTTTTTTACTACACATTATTATTGTTCAATAAATTTTTTCAAATGAAAAGTATGGGTTTAGAAATATGTAAATTCTTTTGTAAGATAAAAATGCCAGATACATTCATAAGCTTGATTCAAAAATAAAATTGGAAAAGTGAATTTTAGGTCAACTAAGTGACTGTTCTCTTGGATAAGTTTTTGATTATAATAGTTAAAATAGATGAAAGATAGAGCAAGGACCTAGAAAAAAGAAATATTATAAGGCACGATATTTGTAGTGGTTTTTTATTTTTTTTGAGATTTTTTTCCAACATATGGAAACATTTAGGTCTGTGTTTTGTACTGTTCATTTTTTTACATCTTCAGTTAACCTGTGGATTACCTAATCTGCATATGCTGTATACATTGCTGTTTTTTCATATGAAATCTCTTACTGATTGAGTTCTGTAAAAATTTGATATGCTTTCATCCTTTAATTTTTAATTATATACATTTCTAAATTACTTCTACCTGTATTTAGATTTTACTGTAACATTTTGCTAACTGTAAGTTTGAGAATTGTGCAAAACCACTTTTGTTTAACAAAATCAGTGATCATATAAGTTTATTTAAACTTAGTGCTGCTTGGATTCAGCAAGATTAAGTCAAAAACTATGGCATTACATTTTTAATTTTTATATTTTCACTTCAACACTGATTTGTATATCTGGTAGAAAGAAACTGAAAAGTTTTTTTTCTTTAGAATCTTCTCCTCTTCCGCCACCACCACTTCCTCCTCGACCTCTTGTAGCCATGGATGAAGATGAAGAGGGAGAAGGTGGAGAAGATGAAGAAGAAATGCAGGTTCAATCTCGAGAGGTCTGTATGTTCTTTTGTACCACTATTTCACTGTAAGAAAAAGTTTTATTGTTTTAGTGACTCAGTATTAGCTACTGAATATATTACAGAAAATTGTAGTAACTTGTATAACTTGAAGAATAATAGGTGCAGTGCTTTATTCAATAATGTTTGTTGTTTTATACATGCATTTTATTTATGTGATACATTATTTTGAATTAAATAGGAAAATTTTCATATTTCAAGTTTAATAAAGGTACATTTTATTTTGAGGAAGATTTAACAAAGGTACTGTATGTTTTTGGCAGATTTTATTGTGGTTGAATGAACAAATTGAGTTAAGTATTAAAAATGCATTGTTTTCTAGTCCAAAAATAAGAGGCGTAAAAAGAAAAAGAAAACTGCTCGACAGAGACGACAGCAGCAACAAGTAGAGAGAAAAAAAAATGAAGAAAATCTGGAGAGGAAAAATTATGTAAAGGATGATATAGATGTTGATATTGAGTAAGTTTTTTGTTGAGGTAACAACAGTCTTTGAAAATAGTACTAATTTAGATCTAAGAGAAAATGTTTACTTGGCATTAAGTTACTTAAATTTGTTTAGAAAAATAATTAATGTTTTGTATGTTGAACAATTGACAAAGAGAGAGATGGACACAACAACTGAAGTGATTTTTACTCTTTTCAACTTCAAAATTTTCATTCATATAAAATTAACAACTCATAAATGAAACTATTTGAAACACAGATAATTTAGGAATAAATTAAAAAGGCCAACATTTGTGGGCAAATGAAATGCAACATGTCTCTGTCATGCAATCCCAACATGGCCAATTTTGACACCAGAAAAATGGGCAAGTCCAACATTTTTGCTTGTCAGTATGTGTTACATGTAGAAAAGTATCATTGTACCAAATTCCATGTAACTTAATCAAAATGAGGCTAAGTAATTGACTGAAACCCCCAAAGTTCTAATATGATAACTTACCTCTTTGACAAAACATATTTCCGTGATTTAAACTGTCCTATATATTCACAAATTTTTCGTCTGCTGCTAGCTGTTATGCTCCCACTTACTTCCACGTGGTATACCTGCATTGTAGCATGCAAATTAGTATGTGAAATCCCTCCACCAGTAGGAGTGTGACACACCCTCTTCATGTAACTGACTACCTTTATGTAGTAGAACCCAATCTTCATCTTTTGATTTGGCATGACAGTGATCAGTCACCTCTTCTTTATTTTTTTTTTAAACTTTGCTTTACATTTTTGAGTTTTAAAATTTTTTATTTTGTTTATCATCTTTTTCATGTGCTTTTATTACTGCTTAACCTTGATTTCACTTTGTCTAATTTCTATAAAGTTTTCTTCCACGTGAATGACTTATCATGAATTCACAGTTTCAAGTCACTACCACTACAGCTACAGACACTATCAGTGACCAACAACCATGGCTTCAGGTCCAACGTTATTGGCTGACAAAGTTTCGGCCTTTGTGCACTGGAAGATAGCTTCCTTCATTTCTATTCTTCTTGGGGATGTTTGGACAGGATGATGAGGATTTGGACAGCTCTCTTTTCTCTCCCTTTCCTTGCCATGCAGTCTCATTATGAGCCACCAGATAAGCTGCAACCTTCTCCTTTTTGGGAGTTAATTTTACAGGTATATTCTATTTTGTCATTGTCTCCCATGTCTTATGACCCATCTCCTTCCCTGATGCACCTACCACAGATTATTTTGTACTTCCTCTTTTGCATACCTTTGTTTGGCATATTTTTTTTTCTTGTCATGCAACAATTGATTTCGCCCTCTCCCCTTTGGAGTTTGGACCCTGATACCATCTGTGCACTTTTCACAAGTACAGTTTTCCTGTTTTCATTTGACTTTTACATCTCTCCTTCATACCTTCTTTTCTATAATCTTTGCTGCACATGAGGATACTGTTACCTTTCTTATTTTTTTTTCCGATTGTATTCACGTAACGGCCATTTCTTCTGTTTGATCGGGGCTCTGTGGTGTTTTGTGGCTTACACAGCTCCCTCCTGTGGTTCCAGTTTTAGATTGTTTATACATTGCAATCATTCAGTTTCCCGTGAATTTCTCCTATTATTCTGTTTGGTTGTTTCAGAAAATTTTATGTATGGCCTATTCCTCCTGACTCCTGTCACCTTTCCGTGTCTCCTCACTGTGTCTTTGGCTACTCATTTTCTTCATCCTTTGGGGAAGATTGTTCAGGCCAGCATGTAGACTGCTCATACATTAGTGTCACATTATCTTCTTTGTCCAGCTATTTCCTTCTCAGCCGGCTATCATCTACCTCCGGTCATCATCCTTCACTCATCAGTTCATTTGTGGGTAGATATGTGTCTTTTATTTGTATATTTTCATCTTACAGGGGCCTTAGATTTTTTGGATCCCGCTCTCTGGCTATTGTGCCTGTCCAATCGTTAAATCCATAATGTATAATGATTAAAGTTAATGTTCACTGTTCAGATGGGGTGTTCCACAACACTGCTTGTAAGTTCACCCTCATTGTATTTTGCTTCATAATGTTTGTCCTGGACCGTACACTCATGGCTTAACATGAATAAAGCAGAAGGGGAATGCTACCCTTCCCTTGATTATACTAATCAGTGCTTGATCTGCTTTTGAATATAAGGTTTCATGGTCACCCATTGAACTTTTTCCAGTGCTGCATTCCTCTGGACTCTTCAATGCATCCCTCCTCCTTCTAGTGGAGTACAGAAATCCTTACCAGGTTCCAGCCACTGGGTTGGTGGAACATGGAGGCTTCCTTCTGAGTGTGTTCAATTCCACTCTGTTGAGATTAGAGTGGTGGTGTTCTGCCAGTGTAGGTGGCGTGACTATCCTCCTACTCAGATCTGATGTATGGTGTGGACTGGATTTTTCCATCACATTTCAATATTCAATTCACCCCTCTGACTGGGAGCTCTCCTTCCTATCACTGCCTGGATGTCAGTTCCCAGGAGATTGATGTTGGTTGAAGCTGGACCAGTCAAGATGAGTCCTCACATGTGAGTGGGTTGGGATCCTCCTTCTACCACAGACTGGACAATATATTCTCTATGCCACATGGTTTTGGACTCTCCATATTGCATTTCCACCTTCCTCCATCATCTAGATGCCAGTTCCCTTGATTGCTTGGGGACTCAGAATAGAAAAACTTCTTTCCTTGTGTTTTCAGGATCTGAGGTAAATGGTTGACAACCCTCCTCCTCCTCCTACCACGAGCCAATTGATCCAAGCTCAGTGCTGCTGGTTTTGGACTGAAGTTGACTTCCCACTTATGGTCCTACATGCCATAGCCACTCTACACCAATGGCACTTTTTTGGTTGTACAACATTTTCCTTTCATTTCATGACACATTCATTCATCTCAGGTGAAGAGTATACCTGTTTCAGATGTGGTTTGTTCTCCTATGAGTGTGTTTCCTCTACGTTGAGATGTCACACTCGTTGAGTCCTCTTTCTGGGGTCTATTCTAGGTAACTCTTACACCAGTTCCTCCACTGGTTCAATGCAAGATTCTAGTTGTTTTGTGAGATAAGTTATCATATTGGAAGTTAATATTTTCCTACACTCAAAATATATTTCTGATAGATACTTCCCACCTGTCATCCCCACTTCCAGTGGTTTTTTTCATGCTTAATCTTTAAGTGAAGATTTGGCTCTGTTGCACAGAGGGAGTCAGCTGTGCTAGGAGGGTGTATCACACTTCCATTGTGGGAGGGTTGTTATGTGCTTATTTTCATGCTACAACGTAGCTATACCACATGGAAGTGGGAGCATAAAGGTTAGTGGCGAGCAAAAAATGTGCACATATAGAGGGCAATTTAAATTGAGGAAAGCTGTTTTATGAAAGGTCAAAATCAACGAAATGAAAAAGGTATCTGTGCATATTGGGCCAAGTTATAACCCTACCAAGTTTCAAGACAGTCTGCAAAGAAATGGAGGAGTGATGGTTGATTGAAAAGTGTTTGGAAGAAGAAGAAACAATAGAAAAACAGTATGTCTTTCTGCTGAGACATAATTATATCCATTGAACATAAATTGTTATTTACACATGCTTATGTAAATTTAAGTAGAAAGCATTTATTCAGCTGTAATTTATAAACGACCAGCTGGAGTACCCATCCATTGGACGGGTGAAATAAAAATTTGTTTGTATCAAAGAATAGGAAATTGTTCTTTTGATTTTTTCGTCATAACATAATAAACATAAAAAGTGCAATAAAAAACATAAAAGTAACAATACTGAAAGGAAAGACACTGTTTTCTAGAATTCTATCAACTTGAAATTAGCTGGGGAGGTCCAATCCCCCTCGTGACTTTTTTATGTCACCCTGTATCACTGTGTAAGTTGTACTGATTTGGTAGTTTTTATTAAGGGAAAAGGAACTGCCAGTGATGCTATGGCAACAAAATAAACAAGCAGGGGAAACAATAAGATTAACTTAGCAATTTTTACTTAACATACAAAAAATACAAAACCATGATATAGTTAGATTATTTGATGTTGTGTAATTGAGAAAGGCTTCTGGCATAAAAAATATAATTTAGAAACTTTCAATCCATCTAAAGAAGAAAAAAGATCTATACAGCAAATAGATTACTAGGAAGAAAATATACCCAGCTTTAAGGTGATATACTTATGTTTTGTTGGCTTTGGATGCTTGGAAGTCGTAAAGTAAAAAAAATGCATTCATTTCAGTTTTACAGTTGTTGACTCCTACAAACTTAAAAATTTCATTGTGTTCAAGATATATAAGCATGAAATTAGTGAAAAATATGCAATACAAAAGTGAATAGACACACAGGAAAATAAACCTGTTGCATGATACAGAATTAAAAATGTCTAGCTGTAGAGTGTTGCCAACCTAAGAAAATGTATTAAGGTAAGGAAACAATTTTCGTAATGTACTTATGTATAAGTATTATACACATGTTTCAGTTTATACAATGTTTAGGTCTATTGAGTTCATAGTCATGTATATAATATTTTTCCTATAATGAGCACATGCAACATATACAGATTAGCAAGGACTTGCTTCAAAATGTAACACCAATCTAACAGTGGCAATCATCATCATCATCATAGACAGCAGTACATCGATAATTCTACCGATGCTTAGCTGCCACACAATCATGAATTATTATTACAAGAAAATGGGGACAAAAGTGGGATCTAACACGCCATGAATACGGAAATGGTGGCGCACATACAGGCGGGGGCACAGCATCTAAGCCATGCATACACAAACACTCGGGACAAGTCCTCTGGGCGAGTCCAGCGACATCAGCGCGACAGCATCCTTGCGGCTTTCACTGCCACGCATCATAACATGCTT